TTGCTAGCTGCACTCAACGAGTTGGGTCAATATGGACTATTGACTTTGACCGTTGACTTTGACTTTGAACAAGGGTTGACCAGTTTGACCTCTGGGGGTATTTTAGTAAATTGGGAATTTATGGGAGTGGTCTCATGGCAAATATAAGTGGTGGAGTTCGTGGCTGTGGTTCGAGAGTTTGAGCTTATCACTTCAGTTCGACAGTTGTGAGGTGAGTTTCCTCACTATGCTCAAGGTCTAAGGCACCAAGGCCGGCCCTTTTGATTGTTACTCTGATATGTTATGCTTGTATGAGCTGTTAGATTATCATCCTGGTTGATAGGATGGTATTGTGTTGCTATGATTTGTAGATCAATATCCTGGTAGATAGGATGATGTTATGCTAGTATGATCGGTTAGATCGGTTTGTATGTCTATAGACTGTTATGTGATTATCTGATATATGTGCACATGTTGATTGGTGGTTGAGGCTCCTCTTTTTTGTGCGAGAGCCAACAGACCGTTGGAATTCCAACCCAATGGTTGTGGGCCGTGAGTATTCCATCCCGAGGATGATTGGGCTTGAAGTATGAGGGCATTCCAACCCGATGGTTGTGGGCCTGGGGTATTCCATCCCGAGGATGACTGGACCTATAGTATGATTGGCATTCCAACCCGATGGTTGATTGGACGCATAGTATGTTGTTTGTGTTATATGTATGTTGATGTGCATATGGGTATTTTGGGGGAACTCACTAAGCTTCGGGCTTACAGTTTCAGTTTTGGTTTCAGGTACCTCAGATGATCGCGGGAAGGCAAAGGCGTGATCGTACAGTTCCTCACTTTTTATGATTTTGTTTATGGGAAACTCTGATATAGAACTATTTTAAAACAAATTTGTAACAACTGTTGGTTTCTAAATGTTATAAAAAGTTAAATTTTGGCATGATTTTATGGATTTTACAGTAAACCCATACCCGCCTTGAAAACTCACTTCTTACTATTATAAGACGACATAATATCCTTTATCATCATTCTTATCTCAAGATTTTATATCTTTGATACAATCACGTCTTTGTAAATGGTTGATACATTCAAACTATTATTGTTCCTTGCCACTTCTAATGCATATGTGCCTATATTCTCGACCATGTAACATATCATGGTGGAACTTGCCTCCTAGGATGATCTCGAGCCAACAAAAAAGAATCCTCTCTAGCTTTTGTCATATTACATATATATATATATATATATATATATATATATATATATAGAGAGAGAGAGAGAGAGAGAGGGAGGGAGGGTTAGGTTCAAATGTTTCTAACAACTATTATGTGCATGTAAGAACCGATCAGAATTAAGCAAAAATAAAATCATTAATGAATCATAAAAGGGTATAATAGTAATCTATACACTTGTTTATATGAAAAATTCGTAAGATATTGCACTGATTCTCCTTAAATCACGTCGTTCTACATCTTAAAAACCCTACTCCGCCATTAGCGATGACGTCTGCAACGATTCTCCCCCTTCCCATTGTATTCTCTTTTCTTTACTATCCTCCACCATATTACGACTACCTTCCACCATCAACACCACCAAACATCGAATCCTTCAATTGATTGTCAGCGAATCCTTTGAAATCGACGTATCTGAAAAGGCATCGTTTCACTCTGCTCTCATCTCCTTTCCAATCGACGTACAGATTCAGAGCCAACCTCACCATCGACGACAGCAACCACCAATCGCCACCTTCCTCTAGTCTTTTCTCCATCGGTGAGTTTTTATTCTCCAATTTGAAATTGATTTTTCGCATAATCGATTTTTTGAAATCAAAATCGAAACTTGAAAATCGTCTAAAAAATCAAGATTTTGAACAATCTATGCATAAACCCCTCTGTTTTCTCGCAATTAAATAAATTTTTTCTCGATTATTATACAAAGTTCATTGTTGTGTTAATTGGTTGCTTGTATTTGTTACTAGATAGTTTCATAGGTTGTTTTGTTATTGTTGTAATTTGAAGTTGGGTACAAATAGTAAGTTCTTGATATTTGTGGTGGTTTTCTATAGTCTTATTGATGAAATCCGATTGATGGAATCACAAATAACTGATACCTATTGTTATAGCTTCCTTATCTTTAACAATATGTAGTCCCAACTCTATCGAGTCATGTGGTATATGCTGCAAATTTAGCAGAGAATCCAAGTTTTTGAAGCATAATAGGATTCCATATGACTTGTTTGCTTCTTTATTGTGATGATTATTCTGTTAGAATTACAACCTATATTGAAATTTAAAATGTTGTATGCATTCTGCCAAAATTTAAAATGTCATATATATTCTGTCAGAATAAATGGTAATTGCACTTTAGATTTAATGATTCTTTTAGAATCTTTGTTTGCCTTTTTTTGTAATAGATCTTTATATCGAAATGCCATTTGTTCTGATAGAATATGATTTCATCAGCATCTATTTAACAAAATGAATTAATAATTTGTATTTCATAGGGTAACTGGTAACACTAATGATTAATGTATTTGTTATTATTTCAGAATGGCTTGAAGAAGAAATCAAAGATTGGAATCAAGTCGATTGTTTAATATGTAGTTGTTACACATGTATCAGCACAAAATATTTGGAAATGCATTTGTGATAGGAATGGCTTGAATAATGGATTGAAGACCTGATAGGAATGGCTTGAAGAATGAATCAAAGATTGATCACACTCACAGCTTAAGAATGTTGTTATTTTTTAAGAATTACACTTGTTATTCTTTCATAATGTTGTTATTATTCAAGAATGTTTTTTTGGTATCACGATCATACAATGTAGTTATTTGATATATTATGAGTTCAAGAATCGATTTTGGGTATTGTTTCATAATGTACTTATTCATGTTTTCTTCTTATTTCTGTCTTTTTAAATGATGTTATAAACTGTTATTCTAACAGAATGTCATTCTACTAGAAGTTCATTCTAATAGAATATCATTTTGACAGAATGAAATAGGTTTTCATTTGTTATGATTACAATTTAAATTAGAATTGAAATGAATTAATTTAAAAAAAATTAGAATTATCCTTTAAATTTCAAGCAGGGGTTTCCCCTCTTGTAGGCTTGGGGAGTGGGGTTTTCACTGTGGGGCAAGCTGTTTTAAAAGTTGCATCATGCAAAGTGGCAAAACATGAGAAAGCGTGTATGGAAAATCAACCCACATTTATACCTTTTGCATTTGATACTTTCGGTTTCCTTGCGCCAGAAGCTGTGGAGCTCCTCAATCGAGTTCAACGGGTCATGCATAGTAAGGTTATAACCCTAAGATCTATAGGTGTTGTTTTTAAAAGAATTAGTTTTGTCATCCAAAAAGGGGATTTCGGCATATCTTGTTGCTCGTTTACCCGCTATGTCTATGTAAAACTTTCTTCTATCAATGATATTCGAAAATCAAAGCTAAAAAAAAAATTAATTGTCTAAAATACCCTTTATAATTAAATTTGAGTGATAATATGATACATGATATTCCATTGTAATATACTTATTCATGTTTTCTTCTTATTTATGTCTTCTTAAAGGATGTTATAAACTGTCATTCTAACAGAATGTCATTATACCAGAATTTCATTCTAATAGAATATCATTCTGATAGAATGAAATAGATTATAATCAGTTATGATTAAAAATTAAATTAGAATTGAAATTGAATTAATTTATAAAAAAAATCATAATTATCCCTTAAAATTCGAAAATTTCCTTTTTTAAATATAGTTAATTATCTAAAATACCCTTATAATTAAATTTGAGTTATAATATGGTACATGATATTCCATTGTAATATCAAAGACCCTCAAAATCATAGTCATTCATTATTTTCATCAATTGGTCTAGAATTGTTCTTACGTACACACAATAGTTACCTAGAACGAATTCCTAGTGGAAACTTCACTTGACACAGTCTTCGTTCACATAGTAGAAGAGGTACAGAGATTGCTTCTTGACTGAATGTCTTATATCCAAACAACTAGGTTTAGCTTGAAAGCTTAAGGTGAACCATAGTTAAGAGAATAGGCACATATGTGTTAGGAGTGGCAAAGAATAATAATAGATAGGAACTTCGGGTGCATCGACCACTTACAGAGAGGTGATTGTATCAAAGATAGTATATCTTGGGATAAGAATGATGATAGAGGAGATTGAATCACAAATTTAGGAGATTTCCCCAGCCCATAAAGAACTATAGTTACATACAACTCTCAAAAGATAAAAAGAGAAAGAGTTATGACTTCAAATAAGAAAGTGAAAGTTCAGTCCTCATTGCCTTATCTTCTAGACTTTCAGTGGAAAAACCAGTCTAGTCTTCCAGCAGGAGTTGCACGCCTTTTTAACCTGCATAAAAAAGGAAGTCTTGTGTGTGCAGGGTATGATCCTAGTGTTGAGCTGAGCAGAGCGAATATGTAACATCATGTTCGAACTTGCCTTGTATTGTACCATGTAAAATTACTTTTCATTATGTTTCATAATTTCCAGACAAAAAATGGATAAAACCATATCACATTATAAGTTTTTCAACATATAATACAAGATAAAACATAAGTTGCAACTTCATAATTTTGAAAAGTATTTTATAAGTTGCGATTTTAGTCTTTTATTATATTTTAAAGTTATGTTTTTGGTCACATACATAATTTTCTTTATAGTTTTCGATATATTAATTTAGGGTTACCAGATCATTTCTAGATGTTGTTCGTGGAACCTCTCGGCCTCACCCCCATAACCCACCGGAAGAAATTCAAACAACCTCGATAAACCTCAAGCCAACCAATAGCAACTGGATGGGGAAATGTATGCTTGTGGGAGAGACTATCGATAAAGATACAATGGAAACAATCAGATCGCTCATTAAACTACAAGGATACGACGATATATAATGCAAATACCTTGGGGGATTACATGTCTTAATCAGATTTGATCACTAGTCTTTGGCGGAGTAATTTCTACTCAACAAAGGCTCATGGAAGAAGATGTTCAAATGGATTGACCTGGCATGTAAGAAGGAACCTCGGTTTGAACGCATTGCATGGCTGAAATTCACAGTTGTTCCTCTTATCACTTGGGATGAGTATAACTTCGATGCTATTGCTATGCAATATGGGAAAATTTTAACTCAAGCAAAGACGTTTGCTTCCTGTTCTGACATATCCTATGGCAAGGTTGGAATTATTACATCCCATCGGAAGAAAATTAATGAAGAAATTATTGGAATTTTGAATGGTAAATCGTATCTGAATTGTATTTCGGAGATTGATGATGACTAGTATCCATTTAAACCATTATCTCCAGCGCGTCATGAGAACTGGTGGAAGAAGGGGATAAAGACGTGGAAGATGACGAGTCAGATGCTATCTCAGATACATACGACATGCTGCATGTGGAACAGGAAGACCTAGAAGATGGGGAGATTGACCAAAACAATAAATTCGATGAAGTGCCGGTGACGGGTACAGTGCCAGACTGCCAGTTGAGTTGAAGGGCACGTCTTCGGTTACGTCGCCGACGATTGAGAAGTTCCAGATGAATGAAGATGAAGCAGCACTTGGCGTTAATGATTATGACAACCCCAATAAAGCAATCAATAAGTATGTCCCCCCCCCCATGAACCTTATCTAACCGTACTGATCAATGATCCTGGTTCTGATGGGTCCCACATGAATTCTGACCCAGATGCATAGAACGTGTCCTTGGAGCCCAATAACAGTGGGTTGCCCAATGGACCTCCTACCACTACTGCTCTAATCCTAGATAATTCATTTTTTGGTTCTCGTGTAAAGAGGAGGTGTGACACCAGTCAAATTTTGGTCAAAAATAAATTGATCAATAATCATAATTGGGATGAACCAAGTGGTAGAGTTTGTAACAATGTTTCCAAAAACATAAAGAACACTGAAATCCGAGTTATAACGAAGAAGTTATGACCAATCGAAAATCCGCGTCAAAACCGGTAAAACACTGTTCAGTGTAAAAATTGAATTTTCGATAAAAGGCTTTTTAGCCTTAACAATATAAATGAAACTTGTAGAATATGTTAAACCGAGAACGTTCATAAAAAGAACGTGAAAATCCGACTTCGTATGAGGAAGTCACGTGTCTCGCACCGGGTTAGAAGCTCCACCGCCTTAAGCCTTCGCACGTGGCCTTCGCAGGAGCTGCCACGCAGCTGCTGACTCACCTCCTCGCCTCGCCAAGTGTCCAAGCCCTCGCCAGCTGTCCCCCTTCGGCCGAACCCTCGCACCCCTATATAAAGGGTGCGAGCCTTCTCGGATGGAAGGGTTTTTCACCCCATTTTCACCCATTTTGCACCATTTCACCCCCTCGACTTTCTCACGACCCCCGAAGGCCCTGGTATCACGTCTAAAGCCCGAAGAAAGCCCCGGAGCCCCAGAATTCTCGAGAATTCATCCTCTCTCCTGTCGAAACTCTGCCCGGTTTGAGCCGATTTTTCGTCAAACAAACTCTTTTCCGGGAAACGAAACGCTGCCCGAATCACCGCTTATCAAAGTGAGTTAATACCCCTATAATATACCTTTTTAAATGGTTTTAAATGCTTTTTAGGGGGGGAATACAAGTTTAACACAATAATAAATTGTGTTAATAACTGTGTGTGATAATAATCACACAGAAAGTTTCCGTATGCTTTTAAGAATTACCAAATACTTCCAACATAACGTAAAGCCATGTTAAATTCTTTGAAAAATGTTTTATAAACTATTTCAAATTATAAATGCCAAAATCATGTTTATATATGTATAAATATATAAATAAGACCTGAAGGGCTTAGGACTAATGAATTATCTTATATCCTTTTCCTTGTTTGGATGTGGAATTAAGGTTGTGTTATTTGTCCGAAGGTCGTTTCCTTCTTAATTATATATATATTATACATATATGAGTCTAAAAGGTTACTCCTTTTAGTATCATTACCTTTGTATCAGGCTGAGCAAAGGTGATATTCCATGAGAATTCATGCTAATCATATAGAACCTATAAATTATAATAGGTATAATTTATGATTCAAAACTAAATATACAAGTATGATTCACGACTGTATACTTCCCAAGGAAATTACCAAAATTCATTCAACTATACCAAGATATGCATAATACCTTTAATATACGAACAACATATTAAAGAAGTAAAGATACATCATACCTAGTTTGCATTAACAAAGGTACTATACAGAGTACCAGGGTTAGCAAACATGTGGTAATGTCGGGTTTGCATTAGCAAAGGTACTATACAGAGTGCCCGAGTTAGCAAACACAAGGTAATAATACATCCTGCCGAGTTTGAATTAGCAATGGTACTATACAGAGTACCAGAGTTAGCAAACACGAGGTAATAATACACAATTCCGGGTTTGCATTAGCAATGGTACTATACAGAGTACCAGAGTTAGCAAACACGAGGTAATAATTCATGATTTAAGTATACTAGAATACACTGTTTTACAAGAAACCAGGGTTTTGATTCAAAACAAATCAAGGGTTTACACTTATCAAATACATGTTTGGAAAACTAAGAATATACTGTCAATCATTATTTCAGAATGATTGGGTTTTCAAAACTAATATACATGTAACGTTTAATATGCTTTTTATGAGACTCTATATTCAGGTTGTTTAATTCATTTTTGACAACATAGGAAAGTCCTGACATTATAACCAGAATCTCCAGCCGGGGATCGAAACAAGTGTGTGTAGATCTATATTGGGATTGACAACCCCGCACTCAGGCTGCTAGCTACAGTTAGATGAGTGACAATTGTTATAACCAATTTAAACGCCCACAAAGCGTTTGTTTCAGGCCATCAGTCATAGTATGGTTATAATAACTACTCATTAAAAAGATATTAACAATACGTTAAGTGTATAAACAAATAAACGAAAGTACACCTTCAAAGTACCAGTTTATAGAATACAAAATACAATGGTTTAATACAGTTTTCATTAACACCTGGTGGAGCCAGGCACACTCTCAAATACAAGTTTTCAGAAAGGAATACAAATACAAAACAGTAATACAAAGAGAACGGTTTATGGGATTAAACCACTTATCAAATGGAACTTAGTCATTCAATCTCTGTAAACTAGTATAACATAAAAGACTTTTAGTGGTTAATTCTATAATTCCTTAGTTATTACATCATAGTTATACATAAGTAATATTCGATTGACAGTGAAATGTGTGACTTCCGCCTTACTTCCTGTTCCTTGTTTGGTTGTGGGCTTAGGGCAGATGCACCCAATTGACTGTCCATTCGATATTGTGTTATGTATAATCAGTATAAACTAAGTAATTATAGAGGGAAACTATTGAGGTTATCAATCTAGCACCTCAGGAAATATAGGATTTCCTGGAGAAACTAGTGAACTTATTCAAAGAACTTAGGGTATACTTAGCATAACTAAAATACTTATGAACTCACCAGCTTAAATGCTGATCTACTCTTTCCAAATAACTTGTATTCTCAGGAATCCAGTAGACAGGTACACTCCCGAAGCTTTTGATAAGACTACCTAGTACCGTACCGCGACTCTTGTCTTCTGCTGTACCTACTTTAGTGTTTGAATATGTAATGTTTAAACACTTATGTAAAACTTATACTTATTAATGCAATGGTTGTTTGTACTTTGATTACTATGTTACATGTGTTGTGATACTTACCTAAAGTCCTCCGCCCCCGAACGTTTCCGCCGTTCTGGTTTGGGGGTGTGACAGGAGGAGACTTAATAAATATTAGGCTCTTTTCCAACCATATGGGAAATCAGGTGCGGACCTTCCTTCCCATCCAACTGATAATTCTTTTGGCCACAAATCCTAAGGTATAGATGGAGAAAATTCCCACTCCCCCTCCATTGAACTTAATCATATCATCGATCAGAATGAAGTTTCGTCCTTATCCACCAACGAGATTGCTGAAACAATCATTGTGGGTAAATCTATTGGGTTCCATGTCGACGAAAACAACAGGTCCTTCAGGCGGGCTCTCATTGCAATGGTGCAGATTGTATTCCTCAATGAATGTGATGTCAATGAATATCAGGGGGGTTGGTGAAACGCACAAAAAAGAATGGATCGGGAGGCTGAAAATGGAACATCGCATCAATTTTTGTGGTATCCAAGAGACCCAAATTTCATGTTTCTCGAACATTGACATCTTAGGCTCCTGGGATCATAGAGAGGTTGGCTGGGACATTGTTGATGTAACTAGAAGATATGTGGGAATTCTGAACCTATCAGAAAATGGAATGGCTTTAATGTTGAAACTATATTCATAAATGCTTATGTCGTCGGTCTTTGGATGAAAAGAAAAGGTTATGGGAAAATATCCTTTAACTTAAGACATCCAGAGAGGGGATTTGGATCCTCCTTGGTGACTTTAACTCTGTGAGGAACCCGGGTGAAAGGATGAACTCTGTTTTTTCCCCTACACATCTATTGCCTTCAACAACTTCATCAGGGATGCAGGTCTATTTGAACACAATATATGGGGTCGAAATTCACTCACATGTGGGGTGATAGCTTTAAACTTAGAAAACTCAACCGATTCCTCTATTGCTCTAATTTTATATTTCTTTTCCCGTATCCCTACATTACTTCCCTCTCGCGTGAGTTCCCAGATAATTCCCTTATTATATTTGGACTTTGGTCCCTCCCTCATTCAGATTCTTCAAATCATTGCTCCTTCGAGAAGGAACTGATTCGATTTTGGTGAAGGCTTGGTTCTCACATAATCTGATGGGAACCCCAGATGAAAACCTGGCAGCAAAATTGTGGATTGTCAAAAATGCAATCAAAATATAGAGGAGAATGGAAGCAGATAAAGAGTCGAAGACACTCACTGACCTCAAGGCTCGTATCAGGGAAATCGATTGTTCCGCTGAGTCTAGGGCCTTATCAATTTCTAAAGATGTGGAATGGAGGGAAGGTAAAAGAAAATATTGGAAATGGAAAACATGAGCAGATCACGTGCGAGCACATGCGCACCCTCGCCCAGCTGCTGCCGCGTGGCCTTCGCTCCTGATGCCACCTGCCCTCACATGCCGACTCCCCCCTTCTAAGACCGACTTCGGACCCCTATAAATAGAAGGGTAATGCGAGCCTTCTCGGGTAGTTTTGATAATTTGCCACTTTTAGCCCCCTTTTCCATATTTTCTTCATCTTAACATCCCCCAAAGCCCCGGTATCGATTATAACCCCCCGGAATACGTCACGAAGAGCCCGAGAAGCCCGAAAAATTTATCTTTTCGGTTTCGAAGCCCGACCCTAGCAGAGCCCGGTTTTTGAATAAAACTCTCGGTTTTATTAGAAACGGACGTTTTAGGAAACGAATTGCTGCCCGATTTTCATCAAAACAAGTGAGTGTATAGTCACTTTCATATTACACACAGATATGAAGTATTTACCTTATAATACGTGCTATGTGCAAATATATTAATTGTTTATTTGAGGTGACTGTTGAGTTGATGT